GATGTCCTACTGGTATCCACAGGGTAAATGGAGAGGAAGAGGTCTAGTAAGTATGTCCCAGGAACTTCATGTATGCTCACCTTAACCACACGCACGTTCACACACAGAGGTGGGTTTTCCACGCGAAGGTAAGGACTAGAGACACTATCTAACAAGACTGGTCACACAGCAGGAGGCACAGTAGGGAAAAGAACAGATGTCTGACTCCATAGAAAAGTTTATGCTTTTTCTTCTGCACTGCTGCTGCCGCCAAGTCGCTTCAGTCGTGTCCAACTCTGTGCGACCCCACAGACCGCAGCCCACCAGGCTCCTCCGTCCCTGGGATTCTCCAGGAAGGAACACTGGAGGGGGTTGCCACTTCCTTCTCCAATGCATGCATGCATGCTAAGTCGGTTCAGTCATGTCCGACTCTGTGCGACCCCAAGGACAGCAGCCCACCAGGCTCCTCCATCCCTGGGATTCTCCAGGAAGGAACACTGGAGTGGGTTGCCATTTCCTTCTCCAATGCATGCATGCATGCTAAGTCGCTTCAGTCATGTCCGACTCTGTGCGACCCCACAGACGGCAGCCCACCAGGCTCCTCCATCCCTGGGACTCTCCAGGCAAGAACACTGGAGTGGGTACTGCTCCGACATTAATGCCACTTCCAGTACTAAGAAAATAAGTATTTACTTCTTTACCTGTAGAGGGCACTGGCTTCATTCCCCATATTCTCACTTCACATCTTCCCTACCTATCCCATAGGACCAAAGATAAATAGGAGTGGGAAGGGAGAAAAAGAAATGATTAAAAAAAAAATGATATCCAAAATATTTAAAATGCCTACAAAGACAAAAACCCCAAAAGTAAACAAAGGAGATAAATGGGCAGTTTACAAAAGGAAATCCATAAGGAGAATATATATATAATGATGTTCAACCACAGTATTAATCAGGAAAATGTAAATATAAACCATGAGGTCTGACTTCACACTCAGTCTAGGAGGTGGGAGGGGGCCAGAATGGCCTAAGATGGTGTCTACACTACAGAATCTGAGGAGACATTTGAAGACAGACTAATTAGTGAACAGAGTCTTGTGCAGTGTATCAGTGGCAAGTAAAAAAAGAGGAAGGAGTTAAAAGTATTCTTCAGTTTCCCACAAGAGTGACCTAAAGGGCAGTGATGCCATGAACAGAAATGGTAAGAGATAAGCGGGCAGATCAGGAGGCTGAGACGTGACCAGTCCCTGCAGGAGCATAAAAGAGAGTTGCTGGTGTTGAGTAGAAACAGCTGAGACCTGGCTCCCACGTCCTCATAGCTGCTGCATCTCCGCCATGCGCGGCCATGTCATCACCAGCCTGCCTCTGGGGAGGGCGGGGCTGGGGCTACAGCCTGAGCGACAGCAATGGGTGTGCCCTGGTGACTGTTTATGCTAAGATTCCTATGAGCAGTGTGTGCAGCTTATGATTATTTACAACATCAACACATGCATTTTGACCCTAAATCCCCTCTTTCCCCGCTTCTGCTTTGGGACACAGGTTTAGGTTGGCACCCTAGCCGAGTGGCTGGGTCCTTCGCAAGACATGGCCAGCTGTCTCTCCTGTTTTCCTGTCCTTCAGAGAGTGTCCTACAGAGAGTGTTGTCCCTGCCAGGATCCACAGGAGAATGGGAAGAAATGCACAAGAGGGCGGCTGGGTTCTGCATGCTTCCCAGTCCAGAGAACATCACCATGTGCCAGTGTGAACAAAAGAGAAAATTACCACTCCATTTTCCAGGTCAGCATGGAAGCCAAACATGTCCAAAGTGAAAGTCACTCAGTTATGTCCAACTCTGCGATATAGCCCATGGAATTCTCCAGGCCAGAATACTGGAGTGGGTAGCTTTTCCCTTGTCCAGGGGATCTTCCCAACCCAGGGATTGAACCCAGGTCTCCCACATTGCAGGCAGATTCTTAACCAGCTGAGTCACAAGGGAAGCCCAAGAATACTGGAGTGGGTAGCCTATCCCTTCTCCAGCAGATCTTCCCGACCCAGGAATCAAACTGGGGTCTCTTGCATTGCAGGCAGATTCTTTACCAACTGAGATATCAGGGAGGCTCTAAACATGTCTAAGCATTTCATCAAAGAAATTTTATCTTCAATTCTAGCAACTAATGTCTTAGTTGCTACTCTATACCTTCTCTAGCTTGATTATGGATCGAAAAGAGAAAATGTCTGAGTCTCTCCACTGATACAGTAATTCAGTGGGGATTATCTGTCATGCCTTGGCTTAGAATAGAAACCTGTGGACTCCTTTGCTCTCCAAAGCAAAGTGGAGTTAAGTGCTAGATACCATTTGGTATCACAGGACTAACTTAATTTGACTCATTTGTGTTTTATGTTTCTTCCCAAGTAAGCATAACTGTACTATTATGGAAATCCACCAAATACTAAGCATTTGTGGCAGCAATTAGAATGGAATAATTCACTAAACCTTTCCTGAGATAAGGATCAAAACAAAGCATCAGACGGGAAGGGATAGACATGCTGAAAGGAGAGATAAGAAATGTTAACAAGGTTTAACTTCAGGATGTTTCTGGGTGCCTACCATCTTCTCCTGTTTGCCTCACTCTTCAGCGACCTTATCCCCAAGCATAAGGTGGATTTTTGAGAGCAGTAAAGCATAGGGCTTCTCAGGACAAAGGGAGTCAGACCTGGCTCCAATTCTAGCTCTGTCAACTTTCTGGCTCTGCCTCCTTGAGTAAGTTAACTTGAAACTTTGATCATTTTGTCAGAGGGAAACAATGACATCTACAGAGACTGAATGCAAATATTTTACGTATGGGGACAACCAGTCTGGGTGGAGCTGGGGCTGCCCTCGCTCGTCAGGACACTCCCTACAGTGTCCCTCCCTGGAGCTCCATGTCAGATATCACTTATCCTTGGGCCTAGGACAAGAGAATAATTTCTAACCAAGGAGGAAAACCACAAAATCCACTATTAATAACAAGGAAAATGAGCTGAAACCTATTTCTTTGTGGAAAATCCCCTGGCGAGGTTTAGTCACTTCAATGGCCTATCGCATACCCATGTGTGTGTAACCCCTGCCCCATGGTGGTAGGGGGCCTATAGTACCAACATAAACCTGTGTCCAAAAGCAGAAGCAGGAAAGAGGATTTAGGGTCAAAATGCATGTGTAATAACGTTCCAAGATGCATGACGTTATAAATAGTCATAGGCTGCACACATTGCTCATAGGAATCTTAGCATAAAAACTGTCAACAGGCAGTAAGACCAACCTAGACAGCATATTAAAAAGCAAAGACATTACTTTGCCAACAAAGGTCTGTCTAGTCAAGGCTATAGTTTTTCCAGTAGTCACTTATGGATGTGAGAGTTGGACTATAAAGAAAGCTGAACACCGAAGAATTGATGCTTTTGAACTATGGTGTTGGAGAAGACTCTTGAGAGTCCCTTGGACTGCAAGGAGATCCAACCAGTCTGTCCTCAGGGAGATCAGTCCTGGGTGTTCATTGGAAGGACTGATGTTGAAGCTGAAACTCCAATACTTTGGCCACCTGATGTGAAGAGCTGACTCATTGGAAAAGACCCTGATGCTGGGAAGGATTGAGGG